ATTTACCTGCTGGGGAAGCTCTACTGGAAAATCCGTAAAAATCGCAGTTCTTGCCATAGACATCTTGTTCACAGTTATCTTGTGATTAACTAGTACATGTGTATTTTATATTCCTAATCTCTCTCTTGGATTTTTTAATGAAAAAATGCACATGGATAGTATGTTCTTGAAATGAATATGTAAATGAAAGCATCCATTCCTTTGTCAGTTCTGTCATACTGAAACTTTGTCTATAGAAGATAATCTATTGGCATATTTTGTATATTTGGCATTCCCTATTGTTCAATTGCTTTTTCAACCATTTGCACTTCTGTCCAGTACTGTGTCYTGGTCAGCCAAACTTCCCTGACTTTCAGCATTGATAATTGGTGTAGCGAGGTACAGTTCACACAGCTGCTCCYGGCTGAGAAGAAAATTAGCCGTATTTATGGCATGGGGCACTGCATGACACACAGAACATGAACAAGTAATCAGTAACGAATATTCAAGCCAAACTCTTAATAAGAGTATGGAGGAAGAAATGAATTCTTCGTTGGCAGTGACCGATGCCAAATACCTCCCTTCGTAGGACAGTCGTGAGAGAAATAACATACTGTTTTGTGAGCTTGGAGGAATGTCTCGGAAGACGAGGCTTTTTCAAGTTTTAAGGGTAAAGCTTTAAATTTGATTTATGTCACATTTCCTTCAGTCATATTTTGCTCTCTCCATACGGATTTCAGCAGAGCTATTCCACATTTCTCTTGTAAATGATATCAGTGTCATGTTTTTGGTTTGAAATACGGAATTTTTATGGACTTCACAAATTAGTGTTTCTGAATGGTGATAGAACTGTGATGTTGCTAGCAAATGCCACTCTCTGACAAAAGATTGAATTTTGCTGGCAGAGTTTCTTTCTTTTGTTCTCCCAACATTGATAATTAGTATAACATGCAAAGTGTTTCCAATTAAACTCAAGAAAAAGAAAGAAAAAAAGAAAGAAAAATGCCTATTTTTCAAAGAAACTTGGGACTGAGGATTCAGACCAAAGCTTATAGATTCCAAGATTTAGTAAGATTKAGAAATATTTCAGGTGTATCTCATTGCTTATAAATTCATAGGAGGGACCACCTGTAGCACAAATCTTCAATGTAAAGCACTCTAAAAGCTATGGGAGGACAAAACCTCATTTGAGTTTCTTGACCTTTATCCGCCTTGGTGCTCACGTGCTACTTTTTGTTTCTATACATTTTAAACATGTAGGGGAGCAAGTAAGAGCAGAACTGTTGAATTTTGGTGGCCCAGAGGGCTGAGCAGTTTATTGTGATGATCCATCTATGGGAAAGAATTGGAAAAGTGAAGGAGGATGAGAAAAACTGATTCATGTTTTTTGTCAGTTGGGATCTTCCGGTGAGATGATCTAGACTTGCAGCTTTTGCTAGTCTTTGTAGTTGTCTACTCTTTTGAGRTAGTCATTATATTCAAATAATGAGAAAAATAAAAAGGTTGAATGGGATACACCAATCCTGTAACACTAGTAAAGCCAAGGAAGCTGTTGGTACAAAAGCCCTGTGAACTAAGTCTCGTACTTCACCCATTAGCCCAAAGAATATATTTTTGTCCTGTCATCGCTTAGCTGCTACCTGACAGATGTGTTTTATTTGAAAGATCAAACCTAGTGATACACGTAGAAAATAGTGGGGTGTCCATAAGCAACCTTAGAATCCCATTTAATCATAACATTTCTAAGTGACCTACCTATAAATACACTTTCTTTTGTAGTACATAATAAAAGTGAAAAACCTTTCAACCTTATCTGGCTTATATCAGAAAAGCTATACTATACAGATTAAATCTTTCCTGTGTGAGCCTATCCTTATTCAGTACAAATTTTAAATAGCACTATTAGGTATGGCTGGTGTGGTGTACCAGCTGTACTGAAGTATGTGTTTTGCTTTATTTTTTTTTTTTGTATTTTTGACAATAGATAAAAACTAACACAAAATAAATTGAAAGCCTATAGAGATGCCATAAAGTCAGCACGCTCAGATTTTCAGAGGTATTCAACAGTAAAAATAAATAGATAAATAAAATAGTTTCTTTGGGTTAAGTTCTGTGTGGTGTTCTGCATGTGCAGGTTGTTTCTAATAATGATGGGGCTTGCTCTGAGGTTTCAGCTGCACCTTGTTAAGTTGTTGAGTTGCAAGCTATCTTTGGGTGACTGGGTCCCTTAATGTCTCTCTAACCCCARATAACTCCCTGTATTGTTATTTGGGGCTACCATATTGTTAGGACTCATTTAACTTGTAACAYGTCTAGAGTTATCTGAGAAAAAAGGAAATTTCTCTTCCTTATCAAGACACACACGACAAAGCTTTTCTTCAAAAACTTTCATGAAAAATGATGAGTCTCTATTTTGGCCAGATGTTTGAACAGCTAGTCCAAATAAATTTTAATGTCTTTTGATCACAGAAAAGGACACCTTTTTTTACTCTTTATAAAGTTAAATTGAAGCCTTGTTCTATAGAAATACTGTCCAATATTCCAGCCACTCTAATGAAATATTACTCCTCTAGGAGAAACTAAAAAAAGAAAAGCAAAACCTTGTTTTCTGCAAGAGAGATCACATGGCTGATAAGAGTTTCTTTGTTCTTGGATTACAGCACAAGGACACCAAGTAACTTGTCCCTACCTAGGGCTCTCAAGGGACTATGGTGATACAAATAATAACAAATCCAAGTACAGCTTATATTAAAAAGGAAAACAAAAACCAATGGACTTACAATAGGTGCATATCAGATTGCTGTACCTKTGTTGCAGAACTAATTCTAACAGGATATGGAAGAGGAAGATAAAACAGAAAAGATGAGCCCCTTGCTCAAGAAAGGTACTGCCACAAAGAGCACACCTGAAATCAAAATGACAGGCTAATGAAGTTCAGCCCACCCAGCTGGCCATGAGCTGGGGGCAATATATGCGTGAGAAGTGAGAACAAAACCATTAGAGAAAAGCAATATTATTATATCGTTTTGGAATAATTATTTAATGGCAGTAATACGGGAACGTGTTCTTAAGAGTTCTTCATTTTCAACAGTTCATGCTCAAGAATGAATACTTGCCAAGTTTTCATGATATCAGACAAGATCTCCAGACCTCTTATGAATTCATATGTGAGCCTCTTGGCAATTAAATGAAGTCAGACACYGCTGAGCGTTATGTATATCAACACTGTATTGAATGCAGAATATTCATTTTTTTCTAATCACTGATATTTGTCACATAATTCACATCTTGAATGAATGTTGTTGGTTTTGCCTCATAATAAGTAACCGAAAATAASAAAAGAGACACAGGGATGGAATTACCTAACTTTGTAGTGAGATTGCTTTCTCTGGCAGCTGCACATTTGGTTCCTTTGCAGCTTTTCARTAGAGCTGTTCTGGTTAGACAGTATTTCTCTTTCAGGTCTAATAGCAAACAAAGTAGTAATATATATAAAAAAAAAAGCAATTGTTAATTTAACAATTTTTATGGTCTTGTTTTAAATTCTACATTCTGCACATTAAATTCTACGTTCTTCACATTGCATCAAATTCTGTAGTGGCAACTCCCTTGGTCCTTTGGCCTCAAAGATGCATTTAAAATATAGTCTTGCTCTCCACTGGAAAGGATTGTTGCCATAGGAGGAGGATCTCTTTATGATAAAAAGAGATGTAGTTATATATGCAGAGAGAAGCGATTTGTGGTTTGTAATCATGTATGACAGGTGAACAATTTAAATGTAATATGGCAAGTGGTCTGTTACATGCTGTGCTTCCAAGTGTGTGCAGTCTTGGTAGAGCAAGACTGAGACTTTCTCATTTATGGCATTAGGAGCCATGAGCTAAGAGTTCTGRGATTAAAGCTCAACAGGGATCTGATACTTATGGTGAACATGTACTTAGTTTGGTGAGAACAAAGCCCAGATATTCCATGATGGAAAAAAATGGAGAACTTCATTTGGAAGCARTGCTAGATGACAGCTYTATGTAGGAGATAATGTAGGGCATCTGAAATAAAAGCTACTTTTTCCTGGTAGTGTACTAGATACACCATGCTTCCAGTAACATCACTCTAGTCTATTTTAAGACGAGAAGTTGTGATAAATCTGTTACACCTTAGATCCCAATTATAAGAGGAMTCTAAAATTTGCTATAGTAGAAGTAAGTACGAACTCTAAATTAGCAGAAAGTCATTCCATTCACTGCTTCCACTAACAGGTTTAAGGTCTTGACTTTGCATAGTAATGAGATTATAGAAATGCCTGAAGGACAATTCTGGTATAAAACCAAATGCCCCCAAGTGAATTGAAGTTGCAAAAAAAAATCCCTTTCATCTTATTATTAATTGTATAATTAATGCATCCTGTGTACTGATAAGAATAATGCCATGTAATTAATTTTTAAGAATTAAAACCTTGCCTTTATCCAGTCTCATGGTCCACTTTCATGTTTATAGCTGTGAATATAAATCCTCTTATCTAATTATAACATGACTGGTTTCATTGTTCAAAAGGAACCGTTCTTTATTATTTCTTATTTTATTATGTTATATTTCATTTTATTATATTATATGATTTTCTGTATTCTTCAAAGAGGCAAAAGAAGACAAAATTTTAAGACTTCGGAAGCTCATCAGTGAAATTTTGTGCTGGTTTGGATAAGGTGTGATATTTCATTTGTTTTCTGTGTCTGTTTTTGTCTTCCATGATTACCCATTCTGTTTACAAAAAGGCTCAATTAGCATTTGAATAGTAAGCCAGAGAGCAGACAGGTTGAGAATTCTTATAGAACTAATTTGGCAGTCCTTCTCCTTCCCCCCACACCTCTCTCTCATAGCTTTTTCTTTCTCTCTAATCAAGCTGCAGTTATTAAAGCTAGAATAAAAGACCTGATTTTCCATTACATTGATGCATGCTGAACAGTGCCTTGCTTTGCTTTTTCTTTCAGCTATGCTAATTGGACTCAAAGGAAATATTTAGTTTATAATAGCAAATGAAGAATTCATTAAATTCTAGCAAGAAAAAAAAGTCAAGCAGTGGAACTGGACAGTATTTTTTGAACACATCCTCCCTTTCAAGGTACTTATCTTAATACTTACTTACAAATAGCAACAATATTACTTAATTTTCTAGCATAATTGCTTTGGGAAAAGACAATTTAAAATCTGGGAAAAGAGGCAGAGATTTCTTTACAGTGGCGCATATATATATATGTGTGTGTATATATATATATATATATATAAAAAGAGTGAACAGCTGATTTCAATGCAGTTGCATAGGAGCTTGTAAGGAAATAAAATGAACCACTGTGTCCAATGTCTGTCTTACTGCCCCTGGGGTAAATCAGGAGTGACTGCATTGAAGTCAGAACAGTTACCTTGACAAGAAAAGTCTCAAAGCCTGCAATTGCACAAGAACCATGTTTTACAGTAGATTGCCAGAGTTTTTGCCTCTGGTCATAGCTGTAGGTCTCAAGAATTGTCTTGCTGTGATTGTAGGTATGTTCAGGGAACTGATTCAGTATCTGGTGATTTTATTGTAGCTCTTGTGATTTATAAAAGGAAGTAAAGTAAGAATTTCTGATTCTGGATTATTAATTAACCTTGAGGTTCTCGTGTTAAACTAAGTAAATATAAAGCAGTCTCTAAAGCTAAGGTTCTCTAGTCAAGTTTTTAAGAATGATATTATGCTAGTTTAAGAAGAGCTAGAGGAACTGCAATGCTGGAGAGGTATTGGTTCATTACAGAGTCTTTAGAAGCTGGTCCAGAAAATAGTGTGTGAGGAAGCACTTGAACTTAAACTGGGACTACTGGAGCCTTACAAATATGAGGTTAAAGTAATGTTTAAATTGTTTACTGGACCAGGGATTTCAAGTGGCTTATGACTTTTAAGGACTATCTTGGAGATAGGGGTGTCTGGATTTTTCATGTAGAGGTCATGTAGACAAGACAATCTCCAGGCATCTGGAAAGCTAAAAGCCTCTGTTACCTCCGAGCAGCCTAATGCTGCTGTGCTGCAGCTGCCTTATTTAGGAYAGCCCTGAACTGCCCAGGTCGAGTCTGTGGCTGTTGGTGCACCTCTGCAGAGCGCTGCACATCATCTTGGCCATCACCCGTGTGTTACAGCCTACACCAACTGAAGTGCTTTTATGGACAGYGTATTACCAGAATCATCCATGGAGAAAGCACAGATGTTCTGTACCTTGCACAGAGCCCCCTCCCCTGTCTGCTTTGGTTCTCTGTCGCCTGTGGGAAGGTCTGCTGGCAGTTTCCCAGGTACAGGGCTTACATTGTGAGGCAGCCGGAGTGCCAGCTTGGGGTGCTCAGGAAGGCGGATTTCCTTAAGCCATGGCAAGCCCCAGGTCTGCCAGTTCTCAGCAAGTTTGCACAAAGTTGCAGGGCGGTGCATGCCTGGGGAGGGTGGGGACCAGAGCTCAAATCCACCTGCTCCTGCAGGAGATGCAAGGCTGGTTTTGATGGGAAGCTCTGGTGGGCAAGCAGGGGCTCCTCCCGCTTAGGCATTACAGCCTTGGCTYTAGGAAACATTAGGGGCAGCATTTGAGGGACTTACTAATGAACTGAAACAGTAAATAAAATGTGAGTTATTTTCCTTTAAAGCATCTGACACAGGATGGTATCTTTAATCTTTTTTTGTCTTTTTCAGTGCAGAAATGCCCCTTGCAGTGTTGGTTTCCTCAGGTGCTCATGTTGCTCTTATATCCTCATACAGTCCTGCTCATCTGCAGTCAAAAGGTGCTGCAGATACTTTGCACTCGTCAAATTACATGTGCTTTATTTAGACAGCTAAAGTGGAGATACCCAGATTGTGGTCTCGGAAAAAAAAAGATGATGTTTCTCGCAGAGAAGCAGAGTTCTTGTGAACCTCGGAGCACAATTTGTCTCGCAAGGGAGAGTGCCTCCTAGAGACGGAAAATTTGCCCATACTTTGGGCTTGGGTAGAAACGGCTTTGGGGTCTTTTCATGTATCAAAGAGAGACAGAAAGAGTTCAGAGCTGCTTGCTGAGGTCGGTCTGGAATTGTGGCGTGTTCATAACCAAAGCTCGCAGTCCTGGGGAGCAGCTGCGTGTTAGCACAACAGGTCAGCCACACATTTCCATTTTGCCTTAACCRGAAGCTGCAAAGTACCTTTTGCTGCCTTTCTGTAGTTATATAGGATATGTGTTCTTAGTCTGGGCGTTTGCTCACTTTGCCACGTGGGTCTTTTCCTTGGTACTCAGTGTTATGCAGCTTATACTCATTTGAAATAAAACATAAATACATTTTCTCTTTGCTCTATTTAATATATGCTGTATTCTGTGTAATTTTCAAAATATGGGGGCACTATTTTGAGCAGATACCGGTAGAAATGGAAACAACTCAGCTAAATGATTACCCTGAGACCTCTAAAAATGTTTACTAAAATGCATATTTCTTTTCAAATTATATTTTAATAGAATTTATTAGCATTGTGTACTTAAAAGTGTATCATCCCAAATTCAACCACAAAAGRTGATTTAAATGGATGCATTTTGTTTCCAATTGCAGTTTGCACTGTGTCCCATTAGAGCTGCAAGAACTCCTAGCTCTGGGTAACAGAGATGCCACAGCCAGTCGTCTTATGCAGCAGGTAKCCTGCTTGCTTTGTAAGCCTAAGAAGGGATTTGCATCGCTTTGAATCACTTGCAGGGCAGCCATGGTCATCAGAATACTCTGCATTTCTCCAAAAGTGCATAAATATTCGACTCTGCAGTGTGAAAAGTGATGTGAGGTTTTATTTAGCTATTTCCTAAACAGGAGGCATAATGGTAATCTAAAAGTGAAAACAAAAGCAAGCATACAAAATGACATCTGCCCAAATGTATTTTCTGAGTTAAACATTTTATGAATGTTTTTGTGAAAATAACAAATGAAGTAATGGTATAACTAAAGAACAAATCACTCCACACATTTATTAAGAGGTGAGACCAAACTCTGTTTGGCAGATGAAAATGCTCCCTCAAAAAGGGAAGTCTGCTTTTCCCATTACCAGACTCACTGCTGTGCTTTCAACAACACACCTAAAAACTGCAAAAGGCCTTAGAAATCCCTCCCCTTGAGAAATGAGAAATTCCACACTTTATTTCTGCTCCCGTGAGCGTTAGAAACAGCTGGGAAGCCCCCGATAGCGGGTGCTCACACCGGCGTTTTTGCCAGCTTYAGTTCAGTGCAGACGTTCATGAATTGCAGTCCTGTTAAAATTCATGGCAGCCGGCTACAAATCCATGTGCTATAAACAACCTTTGAGGAATGACAGAAAGTTGTGCTTGCTTCTATCATCAGCTAAAGCCTCTGCTTTTCATATCTAGCCCTCTCTAATTATCATCTCGACAACTGGAGTTYCTTAGATCTACTGTTAATTAGCTTGAGCTTTTCAGGGCTGAGTTGGGACTGAAAGAGTGATGCTTAGGCTGAGAGGAAAAAAAAAAAAAAAAAAGCCTTATTTTTGAATCTTTTCAAATAGAATTGATAGAAATGACCAGAATCAGGAGAGCTTAAATTATGAATGGGCAATTGAGGAAAAAAAGCATGGCCATTTTGTTCTTCTTATTAAGAAATAGAGATGAAAATGGAGGTGAGGGAGGGTCTTGTGTGGCAGAACTTTCAAGGCATAGGTCAAAATGGTCAGAATGTAGCTAAGGTCTAGTCATATGTATGCTGTAATGAGATTTCCAGATTCATTTTGTTGAGTAACTGAAAATTGCTCTTCAAACAAAACAGCTTTAAAAAACATAGGTCCTGCTTCTGCAGCCAAATATTTGCAATTAATGCCAGGCATATGGGTAAATGTGCTCCGCTTAGAAGGGCAGCTTGTGTTTATGGAGTAATTCACATGCCTGCATGGGTGACGATGGGTCACGCCTTCAGCGTGACCCTGACGTGCTCCTAGGCAAGCGCTTAACTTAGCTCCCGTTGAATTCAGCAGAGCTAATTGCAGTAGGGAGGTTAAGCRTGTGAAAATCTTGGCCGTGCTGTGATCTTGGTAATCCAGACCTAGAGTTTGTTGCAGAACTTTGACTTCCAGCAGCTGTGAGATGCCAAGTGCCATYCTTCGCACACACAGCTCCTCCACCAGCATTGAACAAAGCACAGAACGCCACAAAGATTGCAATTATTTAAACAGAAAGTGAGTTTTAAGTTGAATCTGATTGCAAATGAAAGTTTCATTTCCATCGAATTTGTTTTAGCCTGGGAGGCTTTGTGATAACTTGTACAGAAATGCTGATTAATGATCATCATTTACAAATAAATGTTTTCCCTGCCGTGCCAGTGGGAAAAATGTTAATATTTATKGCTTGCCAGCAAAAGGTTTTCAGCAGGGCTGTCAACATAACTGAAAATGCTTTACAGTGTTAAAGAAGATTAAGCTGACAGCGAGCCATTTTCTGCTGTCACATGAACAGCCTTACATGAGGTTTATTTATTGAGTCAAGTGAAAATTAATTACATATATCAAAGAAAAAAAGTGTTGATTTAATTTGAAGATTTGTTTACCTTTATTTGAGCAGTTTAAAGCTCTTTTCAAGATGAAGTATTTTAATTAAGTGAATTAATAAATTAAAGTGATTCAGGGTCATTTTCTAAGGCAGAGTCGTTATAACTTAAGAATAAATATTATGCAAGTGTGTAATTAAGTGACAATTAATTATCAATCCCAAAGCCGACTGTATCACATAAATCTTAATGTTGTTTGGTAGAGGGAAACATCACAGAAATAGTGCAGCTAATATTCATTATTTTAAAATTAGTGTCCTCTTAGAGGCTGTGAAGAGGTAAGTTATTTTCCAGTTTGATGCAAGCAAAGTTTCAGCTACTCCTGCAAAAACTGATGGATGAGAATTGGCTAGAGTATAATAGAAGAGATAAAAGCTACCACAAGTTTGTTACAGCCGTTTCACTGCCAGCAACAGTTCACAAAAATATATGCTGGTCACAAATATATGGAAGGGTTATGTGATATTGTTGTAAATAAATTAGCTTTTCTCCCTTAGAAGGAGAAAACAGAGTAATTTCTGTCTCTCATTTTCTTTTTCTGCAGGAACAAGATTTGTTTAAGGCACAAATTCCAGTCTGTACAGATGCTATCCTGAATTTGTCTGAGAGATCTTCTTAATTTAGCGCTCTGCCTTTGGATGTCCTGGGAATTATTGCAAGAGCCTTAGTAACAGAAAAGTGCAATCCAGACTTACACTGGAACACATGGGATAACTAGTTAGAAAATCCAGGGTAAGATAAAGCAATATGTGCTTTTCAGCTTCCTAGGCGTAAGCCGTGTCCTTCTAGTTGTCCAGACCACTGAAGCTCAAATTTTTATTTCACAGATCTTTCAAGGCTTAGAAAATAGCCTTGTGCCTTCCACCTGAGCTTGGGCTCTGYGCTGATGTTGGTGCCACTATCCTATAGAGACAGAATTTTGAGTTTTGAATCTCTTCAGGCAGAGCAGGGAACTGTACCATGGTATCTATATGGTAGGTGACTTCTTATATAAAAATGAGATGAGTTGCACATCTAAGGTGTTGTCTGAAAGAARGACTGACCCCTGCTCAGTTTTAAGCCAGAAAGATAGTGCCACCAACAGCAGCCTCTTCTGGATGGGCTTGTAGTAGCACTTTCTGGTTGACATTTTAAGAACAAGATTGATTTTACTCAAAGTTAGAMTAAGTTATATTTAGCTTGACTAAATTATGTTTTAAATATAACTTCAGGTCACGCCTTGCTCAGTGTCTGGATAGTTCTGAATCCCCTTTCAAAGAGCTAGAGGAGGATCCCAGACACTGGAAAAAGCACAGAGGGGGAGATTTGGATTTCACTGTGGCCACCAGGTATCTAAAAATCTCTGTGCACTTTGATGTGCTTTTAGTAAATTGAGATCACAAAAATTGCTTACATCTGGGGTGTTGTGAGAGTACAGATAGTGAAAGCTTGTGAGGGGCTTAGGTATTAAAGTAATGGAGACTGTAGAGGGACCAAAGATTGATGTATATTCTGAAAGAAATATCTAAAGGAGCCTGGGGATAACCTAGCTCCATTCAATCTCAAGAAGGAAAGGGAAATAAAAGCTGTAATACAAAGCTGTAAATAACAGAATTGCAGTAGTCATATTCTTTTGTCCTCTAGGCCCTCCATATACTGGCACCATTGTTTGCTTAGAGGAGGCAGAGTTTTTCTCATGCTGTCAGGTTTGATGGTATCTACTTCAGTAAACTTCACAGGCTACTCACTGAGTTAAGTATATGTTGAAGAGACAGAGAAAAAGAGGTCAACATGGAGTCAGCAACTRTTTTACAGACCTCTGAGAAAGGCAAGGGAGAAAAAAAAACTGAAAAAAATAGTTTGGAGCAAACCTAACATAAAAAGTCATGAGGTGATGCAAACTATCAGCAAAGCATATAGATGACCTGAAATAATGCTTCAAAGGATGTTATTTACTAATGGCCATATGCTAATTTTACTAAATGAAAAAAGGCATGCGACTTGGTTACCTGGAAATTCCTTATGCATTATACCATTTAGGAGGAGAAACTGGTCTTTACAATGAGAGCAGTCTTTACAATAAGAGTTGGTGTATGTACAAACAATATGTACATGACAAGCCGTCCAACAGGGAATGCTTTTCATGAATTCATTCATCTCTGAATGCAATTTTCTAAGTTCAAAGGGAGGAGTTTTAATATAGAGCACCATGTTTTAACACTCCAACCAGAACTGTTCATTATCTTCAAATTACTTTATGAGTTAAGAACTTCAAGGTGAGATACATACAGATTTTTTGGGGCAAATTCTATTAATTGTATAGCTCATTGAAAGGCATGGGCTCATAGTGTGCAGACAAGTGAGAGAAGACTAAGGAGTGACTTATACAGAAAGTATACTTTGTGTTGCAAACCAAGTGAAAGAGTGATGGGGATAAAATGATCAGCTGGAATAATTTTGGGGAAAGGACAGTGATATTTTAGCATTAAATAATTTGTCCTTTAGAGATTCAGAGCAGGAATATGACATAGGATGCTGCAGAGGGAAGGGTGAGCAATCCTTTTTAGATTTGTCTTTTAAAACATAGCAAGCTCCCATTTCAGTATAGATTCATAATGGAAGTTTCTTTCATCTATGAAGATTTAGAAAGACAAATGAGACGGGGCATTACAGGAGTGAACTGAAAGTTACTTAGGGAATTCATACTGAGGGGAAGAAAAGAGCAAGTGGGAAAGRCGGATACTTCCCCAACTTCTCTCTYGCTATCGCAACCTTCTTAATCTGCAGAGATAACAGAGGAATCTCATTTTCTTCAGGCATGTTTTCAGGCAGTCAGCTTAGAATASTCATAACGAATTCCACTTCTGGGTAAGGTTTGATTAAGGGGCAAATGACAGACTAATAGTCTGTTTAGACAAAAGTTTTGTAAATATACATTTATATAAATGAAGCTCTCTTTGAACCAGATGTATTTTCTGAATGAAAAGACGGGCAGATTGGAGAGGAGAGGTTGAGAAATATGTTTTTTTCATTCAGAAGTGGAAACAATTCCRATAGCAAATGCAAGATGCAGTGTCATTTTGGCAGTTCAGACAAGTCTGATTGCTTCATGCCTTTCTTCTTTACGAAACATCTCCATCCAGTTCTGTAGATTTCAACTGAAGCAGAAAGACAATTTCTGAAAGACTGAGACTTTATTTATACTGCTGAGGTTGTTATTCCTTTTGCTTACTGTGTAGTTGCACTCCCAATGAATTCACAGGATCCAGGCTGGCAGGGGTTCATGTGCGTCTGAATGTGGTGCTGATGTTGTCATTTGGGCTTCTAGARGATGTGTCCACCATGGGCAATGCCTTTCAATTTTTATTGTCTGAGCCAATGGAAGTTTGCAGAATAGACCTTAGCCAGAATACATTATTGAGATGATCATACCAGTTTCAAAAAAAATGTGATTTTTAGCAGTATCTTATGTTCAGTTTAAAAGAATATATTTCCAGTTCTTATGGCTGCAAAGGAAATCTTGACAACATGTGTCACACACAGCTAAATATAATTAACGCTGTCTTGCGTCACCTTGCATCAGTATCTYCTTTAGCCAAGGAAGAGCTCTCTGATCTCATCCTCACCCCCAGGACAGTCCCAGCATCCTGCTGCACTTCAAAGCTCTCCCCATACCTCTGCTCCCATCCTCAGCTGCTTGGAGGGCTTCAGCTCTCCCCTTTCTGCCTTGGTGGGTTATGCATTTCTTATTTTCGGCACAATTCAGGGTAGCAGGTTAGYTTTTTCACTATTTCTATATTTCTAGATCTCATGGCCCTGTCTCTCTCTTTTTCTCTCTTTTTTTCTTTTTTTTTTTGTTAAGCCATTAAATATTTGCACATTTAGTGGTGTCCAGATGTGCTGACAGCAGTGCGCTAAAGCATGTTTTTCGGCCTAAAGTTTTTAATCTGGATTTTTGTTTGTGAGGAAAAACATTCCTTCTAATCACTGTTGGGAGTTAGAAAAGCTTTGAACACTACAGTCTGTGCTGCTACCTGCTGTCAAATGTTCTTCCTTCAGCRTTTCCCCTCACTTTATTAAATCTCTTTGGTACCATTCCTTGTAGTGCTTGAGAAAGACAAATGTAACCTGGAAATGTATATTTCCTTCACAAAGTGAAATAGGGAAAGTTTGTGGGTTTTTTTTTTTAATATGATATGAAGATTTCTCACATTTGAGGTTTAAAACTGCATTAAATTGCCTTCTATAATATTGGTATCAAGTGTAATCAGAAGTCTTCTACGTGTTTTAGCAACTAAGCAAAATAAAATGTCACAGTCACTTTCTGAGGTCATAGATTCCCTTGTTCATTTTGTTTATATAGAATGACCATCCATAAAAGCTTTTTAAAAATTAGTATCAGTCCGGGTACTGGAAGATGAAAGATCTGTGTTTAATCTATACTAATATCAGTATTAGTGTGGGCTTCATATATTTTTCCAAAGTATTTCAGTTTTCACTGATGTGAGAAGGCTTTTTCCATAAGCAGACAAGCCTTTCTCTCTTGAGCTAATATTTCTGTTCATGCTGTCAATTGAGGTCCAGTGTTTTGTGATATGAAAGACTGGTTCATTAGCAGCTAGACAAACAACTCATTCCATATAGGTTGATTAGCAGCTGTCCAGCAGTAAATGTCAGTACATTATTATTTGYGTGTTATGAAGCAGCCTCTGGAAGTTACTATAGCATATGTAAATTTAGAAAGAAAAGATTAATATAAAGTAGTAATATTAAAATWTTAAAGGGCTTGTATTTTCCTGCTGTATGTGAGCATGTTTTTTATTTATATATACCCCTTAAAAATGTCATACGTATATACTTGTTTGATAGGTATTTAACCAGGGAATTATGTGTGTGTTTTAAACTGTGTTCAAGTTTGCTGAGCATCTGTTAGCATTTAAAACAATTAAGCTATATAAGAAGCTTCATGAAAAAAATAAAACCAAAATTAGTCATTGGAAGACTTTTCATCTTTTCATCTCATAAAGTAGGGGTTAGGCTTTTTCTATCTCTCTAGTTGTTTAAATGTCATCACATACTCATCAAATGAGGATAAATAAAATGTTATTGTGACTGTATTGAATGATGTTTTCATGTGAAAAAACAAGGCAGTCTCACCTTATTATTGGGTTCACTTTAGTAGATTCAACTTGGGACTCTTCAAAGTGACACCAAAACCTTTATGAATAGGGAATTACAACTGTATCATCATGTTGGATGTCACTCTGTTCAAACACCAATGAAAAATCTTTGTGCAATCCCTTGGTAAATAATTAATTTCCCGTCCAAATATATGTCCTAAGATGCACAATTTCAAGAAATATTTTATCATTGGCCTTGCTGTGCTGAAAACAGTGGGGTTTTCTTATTGTTTTCTCAAAAACAAAATAATGGTTATTTTACATGATTATCTTCATGTATGTAGATGCACATCCATTGCGTATGTATTTTATATACATATATATGTGCACATATATATGCACCTCTCAAAAAGGAAAGGGTAGCTCCTAGCAGTACCATAGTATGTGGACATCAATGTAGTTTATTTGTTGTGCTGTAGAGACTGAGATGTCCTGGGTAGGTAGTTTAAAGGACTAAGTATCAATAATGCTATATGCCTCTATGCTCAGTAGATTTTAAGAAGCTCTAGTTTACTGTATTTTATATACTTTTTATATACTGTAGTTTACTGACTTTGCTCTTCCAACATAGAGTGAGAAAGAAACAGATGAACATTCTGTTTGCTAAAGGTGATTTCCTTCAGTTTTCCTTTTAAAAATAATGAAGTGCTCACTAGCTTGGAGATGTTGCCCAGTAGTACCTCACCACAATGAATTATAAAAAAGTAGTAATTCAATGTAAGCTGTAATCACTGTGTTCTGTGATAAGATTAACACTCATAGCATGATATAAAATAGATTTATCTGTGTATAGCACATCTCAAAAATGCTTGCAAGGTAAGTCTTTTAAT